TGACTCTGCTCATTAGTGTGCATAGGAATATGCTTAAAGATTCAATGTCATATTTTCTTGATATTTATCCTTTTTTATAAATGCCGATAATCTTTGGAGGGCTATTCATATTTTTTATTTCTTTTGAGATAGAATAGGAATCATGCCATGACGGGTGTATGAAGGTTCAAGAAAATTCATAAGATCTTTATCTGATTCGTCATCATTCTCTCTATCATCTACTTTAAGTGCGTAGTGTTGAATTTCTAACTTTAAATATTAAATTTAACATCTAAATTTGATGCTACTATAGGCCGGGTATTTGGTACCTACTTAACAAATTGTTTTAATCAAAAGTGCTCTCTTGTTATCATGAGGTATAATTAATCATAGGGGCTTACGCCTGTGGGAAATTAGAACTAAGATCTTAAAGTCCTCACATATGATGACAAAATTTATGGGTAGTGTCTTATCTAAATTTAATGGGCCTTCCAAAAATTTACACTGAACCCTTATCTTGTTAAAACTCTCTAGTTGATAAGCACGGAGAACTTGGGGTGCAAATTTTCGGAGTCCATAGTCACATTATTCATTTTTGACCCAAAGAAAAGAAGAGCAAGATTCAACACAATTTGAGTTTTGAAGATCACTTAGATCAGCCAAAGCCAATTTTTGCTTGATAATACATGTAGCTATATATCATGAATATTTCAATGATCTAAGTTCTCTAAAAAAATCAATCAAAGGGAGTAATAATGTGTTCAGTAAATAAAGAGATGAGAAGCAATTATCTTGACTTCTTTATGTATGCAAATATGAATATCAAGCATGAAATTTTTTAAACATGATAAATTTAGGATGTCCAAGTATCAAAACTTGATGTTTCCTCTTAGAAATAGTGGAAGAATGGTCAAATCAAAGGGGTATGCAGTGCTTTGAGCTAATCATCTTGGTTTCAGTCTTGTATTTGATGGATTAGAGTTATGTTGGCTTGAGTTGGCAATCAATTGACTTGATTTTGTATTTTTTGAGTATATTGACTATATTTTGAGACTATTCCTTGGAATATAGTAGATTCATTTAGGGGCTGTTTGATTTGTTGAAAAAGGAATGGAAAATATTTCAAATGGAGGAGATTTGGGTGTTTAGTTTGATGGAAAAGGAATGCAGTGTAAAATTTTAGTGAATTCTTTTTGTACTCCCTAATTCATTTTTATATATTATAAACTTGCCCGGTTTTGTCCGAATTCCTTTTTCATTGCAAACTAATTGCATTGTCATTGTCATCGACTACTACCGGCTGTCGCTGTCATCACCAACTGCCAATAGCAGCTGCTGCCCACCATCACGGTTCTCCCGTCGCTTGTCGTCACCGCCACCGCCTATTGCCGGCATCATTATTGCCACTTGCCGCTGCCATTGCCGACAACCACTATAACTTGACTTTACATTGCATTCATTTTACTTTAAGCAAAAAAAAAAAAAATCCTACATTCTTTTCTCACTCATCCAAATAACTTAAAATATTTCAAATACATTATATTACTTTTACATTGCATTCTTTTGTACTCTTCTTTCCTTTTTTTTAGCAAGTGAAGAAGTTTGCGATTGAGTTGGTGGGATTTTGTTTGAGAACGACTCCATCTATGTGGTTGCATGCATCTATTACTCTTAGATGAATTCTAAGCATTTGATGTTAGCCGTTAGTTTCCCTCTTACCTCTCTTTATAGGACAAGGGAATCTAAAGGGGTAGTTACCTTTGAGCCTTGTGTGAGGAGCAGCTGAAGGTTTCCTTCTTCTGTTGGGAGTGAAACAAGGTGACGATCATGCATGAAAGGCAAGGAAATTGATAACCATAGCTCTTTGTGATTACATTAAGGTGGAAGTTTTTGACCATTATTGCAATATTATTTCTTGTATGATGAATGTGGTTTTTGAGTTAACTTTCCTTGAGATGTTAATTTAATATGCTTGTTTGCATGTAATAATGTGAACATGTAACTAAATGACTAGAAAAAAAATGAATGCTAAGAATAAGGTACCAACCAATTGACGTCCTTGAGCCGAATACAACTCTCAAGAGATAGTGATTGGCACTATGAGTGTGAAACTCATTTGACGGGAGGATTCATGGGTCATGGTTTGACACAAGGTTCTTTTTGTGTTTGACTCATTAAGAAAATAAACTTGAAATAAATATTCAATATAAGCTCACTTAAGGAATAAATTGAACATGAGCTGTTTGCGAATGATGAGCTTTTTTGACAGCCCTACCCACCACGATTTGAGTGTGTCAGGCATTTATGTTTTAGCGCTCAGAGCGGGACATTAGGAGGGCAATAATGTGTATTTCGCACTCAGCTTCATTTCATTATTTGAATAATCTCTTAACATTGCATAGTAGTAATGTATATGTGAAGGTTCTTCCGGTATCATGGTTTGAAAACCATTGTCAGAGCATGCAACGCACGTTACGGTACACATTTATTTTTGAATAATTGTTCATTACGCCTTGAATTAGTTTGATTTAGGGCACTTGTAAAGCAGTGCTACTTTATTTTAAAGAAGGCACTGTTGTTGTTATTTTAAGTTTATAACTACTAATGCATATAAAAAAAGTCATGATATGAAAATGGATTTCAAATTATTAAAAAATAATCTACCTATAGTTATAATTTTGCACTGCCTGCCTTCTGTTGCACCCATTAATAATAGGCTAATCGTCTGGTGCTGCTTGCTAGAACATAAAGCAACAGTGCATCACCCTTGCCTTTACTTTTTGAAGAAAAACAGAACATGTGAATATGAGTTTTGATGTGCATCAATTTTCAGGAATTAGAATTGCTAGAACCTTCACAATGTATTATGATATTTTAACCAGTTAAAATCTCAGCCGTCCCTTGACACTTGATCCCCCAGCCAGGATGGGAATCCGTAGGAGGCTCATCTGGATCACACCAATCTCCTATATTTTGGTGGCTGATTTAGGAAGGATTATATTAAAGCAATTATGCATGATTATGTAGTTATTTATTTCTTTATTAAGACATCTTGTATAGATCTATAAATAAGGATAGTTTTATGTAATAAAATTAAGCATTTTTCCTCTCCAATTCTCTAAATTTAACATAACCAATGGTGGATTATGATTCATGCTACTGCCAAATGGTGAACTGTGGTTGTGATGAGGACATCAATAGGAGATTCTGGTGCGAGGAGACATCAGAGATCTACGGCTACACTCGCATCTTTTTATTTCTGATTGATGTATTGTAATTTTATTATTATTAGTGTCCTTTTCCATTTTTACCTTCACTTGAGGGACTAGATGCATGTAATCCCAAGGGGTAGTTTTGGTCTTTTATTTTGTTCTTGTATGAGGGCCTATTTATAGCCTTATTTTCCCTCTTATGAAGGATGATGAATGATAATTAAGAAAATTTCTGCACGTGTGTCTTTGGAGAGTTGTGAAAGTTCTATGAGAGAGCTTTGGTGGAGTCCCTTGGTGAAGGGCAAGTGGATCACCCACCAACCACAGAAGAAGTCCGGGTTCGTGGTTCTATTAATTTTCTTTTAGTTTTCTCCTACTGCAAACATGCCGCCATCCCCCACCCCCTCTTTTCCCTTGACTCCACTAATTCCTCTTGCATTCAAAACTTCCTCTTTTAGCACTCTTATTTTGGGTAACAAATTTGAATTCAAACTTCAAATTAATTTGGGTTTGAATTTGTCCTAAACGAGGATTCCTATTTTATGAAAGTTTCCAAATAAGTCCTACTTGAATTTTAAATTAGATTGGATTTAATTCAATTCTTCCTAATTTGAAATTCCAAAACAAGTAACCCTTGATCTTTCTCCACAATCCCATCCCTTCCTCTTGAGACCACCGGCCCCCTCTCTCCACCCAGCCCCTCTCTCTTCTATTACCTTAATTTGTTTCCAAAGGCGGACACCTACTTTGGGAAACTCTCAATCCCTATTTCCCTCCCTCCAAAATTAATTTAGGAATTCAAAATTCAAATCCTTCTTCATTCGTCCATCTCCAAAATCTGAACCCTAACTTCCCCATCCATCCTAGCTTAGCCGGCCCTTCTTTCCTCTCACTGCTCCTTGAAAATTGTTTGGGAATCCCCCTCTATGCATGACGGCTTATCAAGGGCAGCAAAGAATCATCTCTTACCATACCCAAAGCATGATTTACCTCATGTATGGCCGACCCTGAGGTCGACAACGGATCATTTACAACGCTCAAGGAGAAATCGACATCTTGCAATCCCATTTCTTTGATCCAGACTGGGAATACGAGGATTCAGTGGAAAGCTACGTCAATCACATACTCTATCATCTCGTCGAGAAGATAATCGAGCGACGACCAACGGAACATTGGCACATCGTTGGTCGATCACTAACTTCCCCTCCTCCGGCTGCTTCTCCGGCGGACAATACCTTACGCGTCACCTGCCTTATGGTGGCATCACTAGGGTTGCTTCTACCTTTTCTCCGCTAAACCCAATTTTAAGAGTTTGAGTGCGGAACTCAAGGTGAATTCTTTAAGTATTAAACCGTGGATTTTGTTAAAGCATATTAGTTTTATTTCTATATTTGTTATCGTTTTAAATTGTTTTGCCTCTAAAGCTTGTAACTTTTACCTAACAATTTGATAACTAAGGATTCATAAATCTATAAGTGTGAAACGTTAGACTTTACATTGGTTAACTTACGCAATTGTTTTATTACTTCCGAGCAATTCCTGTTTCCGTTCTACATCAGGTTGTTTTAGTAATTTTTTGTATTTGATGATGTGAAATTGGATTTCATAATTTATAGGGACTATACTGCATTTTTTTTTTCTAAATCCTTCATGTACAATAGAAATGAAAAATTGCATGCTACTAGTTCGTCAGGGTAAAGTTGAATTTCTTTGCTCATGTTTGTACTGTGGAACTGAATGCCCATATTTTTGTTATCAAATCTTTCTATAATCAGCTTAATTTTTTTCTTCTTTCATAATGATACACAGAGGTGTTGCCCTACTTGTGGAAGCTGCAAATATGGGCGATGCAGATGCACAATATGAGCTTGGTTGTCGCCTCAGGGTTGATGTAAGGTTCTTCATCAATCATAAATCAGGCATTTTGATACAAATATGAAAATATTTAATCACTGGAAACATAAGTCAGGTGTGAAGATATTGTTTTAATTCTGTCTTATCTTTTTTTAGTTTGTTTAATGTGCGCAAAACACACATGCTGACAATCCTATTGAGAACGATGTGTTCTCCTATGTTGTAACTATCTCATTGGATTTAATTTAATTGTAAGCTGTTCCAATTTAACATTCATCGTACATCTTACCTTATTGGCAGCCGTTGGTTGCCTTAATTTATGGTTCTTAAGATTGGTAAATACTTGACTGGGAGCTTTCCTTCTTCACTCAACCTTCTTTCTTTAAATTCTCCACGACTTGCCTTCTGTAGAAATCTTGCATTTGACACTATAGATATCAACCGAACCTTCCAACTTTGTTGAAACTGATTCTAGAATTTGGTGACTTCTTTAGGTTTTAAATATGAGCCTTTTGAATTGAAACTTGTGATTTTAGCAGATTTTGGAGGATTCGGAGAAGTTATTTATTTTGAGTCTTATTAGGTTATAAATAGACCTATGAGGCATGCAAAAAAAAAATAATGAAGGATTAAATAAAATTTATGCTTCCTTGTTGTTGGATGAGAATTATTTGAATGCTTTACAATTCTTCATGACAACTTTTAATGGATGATTTTTGGTGAACTGGTGTATGATATGGATATTCCAATGAGTAATGTACATCATAGCTTTTTCTACTAAACATTTCATTTTGATTTGTGTGTGATTAAGAACTTGTCAAGTTCGATATGTGCCAATTTCTATTTTATGGCATGAATCTTATCCGCTTTATAATTTTATATTTATTTGTAGCTTTGTTATGAAATTTCAAATTTTGATAACTTTTAAATTATCATTTTGAATGAAGTGTTCTTTTTATTTTGCATTATAAAATATTGATCTTTGTTTACATTAAAAGCTGGAAAATTACTAATTGTGATTTTTTTTTTGGCATCTCATTTTAGGTTTTTCTTTAGTGAACCTTAGACCTTGAGATGTACTAATTATTGGGTCAATTAAAACATACATACATGATGCAATTGAACTAGGAATGGGTAAGTTATGATTCAAGAGGAGCACCCTATAAGCTTTATGAGGATCAAAATTATATTCCTATATTTGATTGTAGGCATAACCTTGAGAAATTTTCAAAATAGTTCAATAATTTAGAATAATTTTTTGAACATTGATTTTGAAAGACTTAATTGTACTAAATCAAAACTAGTGGTCTATCTTTTTGGAAAGGGCTATAAGTGAATTAGTATAGTAGGTGAATAGCTTGAAATTTTTTCATTCATGGCTTTTTTTATATTTGACAGTGAAACTAAATTCCATGGTTTGATCTTAAGCATAAACTTAAAGAGCAATATTGATCTAGGACATATATGAAAATTATGATTTAGATAAAGACTTTGCACGCCTATTGAGTAAGAGCTAATTAATTAAAGCTTTGTGATGATTCAAACAATGAAATAAAACCAAAGAGTGGTAAACACAAGCTTAGGCCAAGTTACTTGCAAAAAGTGAAAACAACATAATAATTAATTACTCATGACGTTACATATGAGATGGGTTTCAACAAGAAATTCCTAATCTAACAATAAGGGTAGTGTTATGAGAGATCTTTCCTACACTTCCTACTAAACACTAAGCTTTTAGCGGAGCTTGACAAGATTTTGCATGAATTTTCTTATCATTCATTCATTCATTGACCCTCCAAGAAGAAGAGGGAGGCTTTAAATAACCAAATACATGAAGGGAAATAACAAAGACACTATTTCCCCTAGGGCATACATAAGACAAAACCCTCAAGTGAGGGTTGAAAGGGAAAAAGAATAATAACAAATCAAATACATAAAATAGATCAAAGTAAATAGGCACGATCGTAGCCGTAGATCTCTGATGTCCTCATCATTCTCCCCAGGTGGGAGAAAACTCGACTCCGTCGAGGGGTGTCTTGAGAACTCTAGTGCATCTGGGTAGATCTGCTGTAACTCCTCGCGCTCTGACCATGTATCCTCTGACTCTGGTTTACCTCTCCACCTAATCAAATATCTTCTTCGATCACCCTCTTTTGTTGAAATAATATCATCACTTAAAATCATGCCAATCTTCTCCGCTATAGGTATTTTAGAAATATGTGGGAGTGGAGGTAAGCTTGGGTTCTCATAAGGTGGGGTCACACAAGGCTCAAATTGAAGTGGATTTGACGGGATACACTCCAGATCCTCATAAGCAACCAGATTAATGTCGAATTCTTTAGGCAGATCCACCTCGTAAGCATTGCCGTTGATTCACTTGATTATTTTGAATGACCCCACACTTTTGGCATGTAACTTTTTAACTGATCCTTCTGGGAACCGTTCCGGACGAATCCACAGCATCACTGAGTCACCAACTTCTAAGGTTTTAAATCTTTATTTAAAATCAACAAGATGCTTATAATTAATGTTGCTCTACTCCATTTTGTGTGCAAGTTCCTTATGTAAGTCATGTAGATGCAATACAAATGTGGATGCAAGGGACTCGGTGTGCATGAAGATTGACATGGATTGTGGGCTCACACAAAGTTTTAAATGGAGAGAAAATTTGGAAGAAAACAAACACACAAACATACTGACTCACAAGCACACATAGATAGGAAATATGATGGATCAATCACAAAATGAGAGGACATAAGATGTTGATGTTTAAGGGAATTGGTGGAGCAATGAAGACATCCTTAGCAAAAAGGGTATCTACATAGGGAGTTTCAGCTAGGGTCATAGATAGTCTCCTAGGGGCAGTAGGGTAATCTAGCAAAATTATCCAGCTAGGAGAGAGATGGTCATTAACAGGGAAGGACAAGAATATGGTGGACATAATGGAGGAATCAGTTACATGATAAGACGATGGGTCCTGACTCACAATCATAATGGGATAGCCCAAGGAGTCACCAGCAGGTATGAGACTCAAAAGATGGGGTAAAGTGTCCAGAACAGATGTGGGCACAATAGTTAGAGAGGTGACATGAAAGTATGGGCTACTACTCTCTCTAACATTAAGGTCGGTACGAGGATTGATGAAATAAGTCCGATCAAGATAAACACACTCTTTCAAATGTAAATCTAAATGAGCAACTCCTAAAGTAGACTCCAATAAAATAAGAAGATACTCATTTTCCAAGTTATGCTCAAAATAATTCAGATTCATATTACTATCTTCCGAATTCAATTTCAATATGCTCAAGGTCAGAACAGTTTCTTTTGGATATATATATATATATATATATAGATAAAGAAGAATTTGGCAATCTTGGGCTCATTGGATTCGTCTCGTCGAGCCGCTCGATTCGACTATAAGCATGTCATGTTTGGAAGCCGTTTGGTAACCAAAATTATGGTTTGAACCTTCCAAATGTGCTTCGAGTGCTTGATTTGGACTCATTTGGGCTTGGATTGAGTCGAATTTGGTGTCGTTGAGTTTGTATTTCCGAGACGCTCAATTTGACTATAAGTTCGCTGAAATCGGAGTTTAGGTGATCCCCGATTTAATTTTTGAAGATTTTGCCTCGAGATTTGAAAACAAATCTATGACACATGAATGAGGAAGATTTCTAATCAGCATGCATACTTTTTTAAGATTTAATTAAGAAAGAGGGCAGGGATGGTATTGCTAAACTTTTCTTCATACCATATCATGAGGATTTCCCAACCTAATTATTATTTAAGTGCTAAATGAGCAATTTTCATTTGTCTACATTCTACAGATTTATGGCGACTCCGCTGGATAAAGGAAAACCAATGGATAAAGGCAAGGATAAACTGAAAAAAATCTGCTAAGTACCTCACCTCGGTTGTGATACTGAATAGGATGATAATATCTCTGCAACTTTCAAACCCCTAATTATAGGGAAAATAAAGAGTGAACTATCTGTCATCCCTTTTGATTATAAAGCTAGTCATGCAAATAAGGTGCGGTGTTCGAGCAAATCAAGTATAGAGGAAGAAGAAGAATTTCTTTATCAGGCCAAAGGTACTACAGAATTTGTAGAGGAAGGGGACCTAGGACCTAGTTCTATATCTAAGAAATTGAAAAATATGTCAATTTTGATGATAAGCGTATCTGAAGAGCAGATATCCACAAATATCATCAAAATAGTACCTATGCCAGCGGCACATTCCAAAACATTGACTACTGTGATGAATACAAACATAGGAATGCTAAAGACATTCTATGTCCCTCAAAAAGGTCTCAATGAACGTGGATCCCTTTTCTACGAATCAAGGGTGATACCACATCTTGCTGCTCATGAAATAAAAAATGAAGATGAGTGAAACTATGAAGATATGTGGATAATTATTCCTCAATATCCTCCACCCATCATGAGAAAGCTCATGAAGAAAAATGTCTTCTTCGTGCAAACAAACAAACGAGCTCGTTATTTCAGAGAACTCTGGCACAATGAGCATGCACAAAGACCTCTTGGTCATGGTTTGTCTACAACATGGGGGCTTGGATATGCTCGACATTCATGTCTCACACGAGCAGCATCCTACCATCATCTTGAGTACCCCCAACGTCCGCGTCTAACATACGCAACCTCCTACAGCATAACAGAAAAAGAGGGACAAAATCAAGCTGAAGATCTAATAGTAGATCTGAAAGAAGCTCCAAAAGAATTCAAAGAAGGTGGTCAGGCTACTGTGGATGAACTCAAGGAGATAAATTTGGGTACAGAAGATGAGCCAAAGCCAACCTTTATTAGTGCAAATCTTCTGCACGATAAAGTAAAGGAGCTAAAAATGCTTATTGCTGAGTATAAAGATTGTTTCGCGTGGAACTACACTGAAATGCCTTGTTTATCACTAGAGGTGGTAGTGCATAAACTCTCCATCAATGCTAAAGTTCAACCTATCAAACAGGCACCCAGACGAATGCAACTTGAGATTGAAGAGCAAGTTATCGCTGAAACTAAA